TTCATTAGAGTTATAAGATTACTCTAATTTTAAGTGTCAATAATATATTTGTCTCTTTTTAATAGTATAGTCAATAATAGTATGTGGTTCAGAGAAATTTTAACTGGTAGTCTAGTATTGTTTATGTTCAGGAAATTCATAGTGTTGATAATGAATGTCTTTTTATTTCATTTTCGTAAGACAAAAAAAAAAAAAAAGAAAAAAATCATGATTAATTTCTTTTATATTGCCCAGCAGTACCTTTGTATATGGAAACAATGGTGCAGACAAAAAGCCTTGTTAGTGGGTCTCTGCGCCAGCCCAATTCAAACAGTTGACCACTTTCCAAAGTTTATCTAAAGCCCATGGATTTTTTAAATCATTTGTACTGTTAACATAGTCAAGCTGGTGCTATTGGAGTCCAGTTGTTAATATAGACTCCCACCTGCTACAACAAAACGTCTAATTAAACTCATCCAGTTGTAGTTTTTAGTCCCTTTACCTTTGTAAGCCAACACTATCGAGAAGAGCGTTTCACAAAGCAATTTACCTTTTACACAGTTGAATGCTCTTCTGCAGCATATAAAGGAACAGAACAAAACCCCACACTCTCGAGATGCACAGAGAGATAACAACTTTGCAAAACAAAAACAGGAAGTCTCACATCAGAGTGACAAATCCTCCACTTTTCCACCAGCGAGGTTTGAACGGACACCATTATTAGGAGCCTGACGAGACAGGCAATCTAGATGATAATAACAGGTTTGTGTAGTGCAGACGGCGGATGGATACCATAGACTGACCTCACAGGATGAACCAGCCAATGGTCATTTAATTAGCCTATAAAAAGATGGAGTAGCTGTGATTTTTTTCCACCATATAATCACAAATAGCTGCTCATTTCTGCAGGTGCACCATGGGAAAGAGACAACTGTGTTAGTTAAAGAGCATTCCAGGATTTATCCCATAGTGAATCAAAATTCTCATTGTAGTATATTTGGATAGCACTATGTACAATGCAGTACTTTACTATCTAAAGTAACTGATAAAGGACAGGGGTATTAGAGGCGACGTTTGGATACATATTTTTGAGAGAAAATACTTTTAATTGTTTTTTGTTGAGTCTATGTTTTTGAAATACATTGCAGAGTTAAGATTTAGAAATGGTGCCAATGCTGTCTCCTTGTTGTTATTTCAGTACAAAAGTAGGTGCTCTTTTGACTGGCCAGCCAAGACTACATGTTTTTCTTACTTTACAAAGACATGTATTTTAAATCATGGTGTTATTGTCTCAAGTTTAGACCTGATCGAGGATTAACCATTGAGACAATTACTCATAACAAAACAAACACCTCAATGAAAAGTTAATGAGAAGTTTGATTTTGTTGTAAATGTATTAACATAGAATAACATAGAAAATGTCATTTAGGCTCACTTTTTACTTTATGTTGCTTCTCTACCAGGTCATGACAACCATTTATTTGCATTATATTGCCACACTATTTTTAGTTTTTATGGGGAAAAACGTTTATGCATTCACAGTAATACTGTTAGCATTTTGATGCATTACTATAAAAAATACATGTATGAGCCTAATGATGGGTTAGTAATTAACGTAAAACCAAATATTTTATTTTTTGTGGGGAAAACACTGCTTGTAACAGGAAGCTGAAACCCATGAATAATTCAGTCAAAGCAGTTAACACAGTACTAAAGGACAGGGATATTAATATTAAATGCTTGTAAATGTAAATAATCAATGTATTGGCGGTGCCCAGGGCTGTACCGGCTCCTGTCTTTAAACGTCACTGTCTGAATGATATCATGCTTTGTGAGTCAAGGTGACATGGTTTCAGAGGATGCAAATGGCTGTGTGTCCACCAGTCAAATCCCATGCAAAATCTGGGCTGAGGTTAAATCCCCCAATCCCCCAATCAGGAAACTGAGCTAAAGCCATTGAAATAAGGTCATGTTGTTTTGTTAGTCACAGAAATGCCTATTAAAGGGACTGCACCTGATTTTTACACAGAACTCGTTCATGTTAAACAGTCTGCTGAGATCCAAAGTATTCTGCACTTTCAACAACATACAGTTTTCCCAGCATCCCAATTATTCACTTCAATGAGTTTTTAGATCAGTTTCACAACATTTAAAGTGCCGTTTTTCCCTCATGCTAAAGCTAACAGCAACTAACATGCTAACAGCGCACTTCCAGATTTGTAAACGATAAAATGCTCTTTAATAAGGTATACACAGAACTCAGCTGTCTCATTTTGACCCTATGAGAGCTGCTTTTGTAATATATCTATACTGGGTCAAGGCAAATTTGCTCAAATACATGGACAAAAATCATATAAAGCCACTTTATGAAAAACAATACACCCCCAAATTTTATTGACAAGTACAATGCTGAAAAATAAAAGCAGGAAACGTGAGCTATCTTTAGTTGCTAATAGATATTGTCTTTCAGAAGGGACCTTTTGCCTGTGTATTTGCTCTTTTCAGAGAATGTAAACTTAAGACATGACGCAGATGGACAACAGAATAGCCTGCCACCTCTGTCCCACGGTTCACGCCCCAAGAAAGAATTAATGACCAAGAATTGCACCTATTTCTGTGCATGGGCAGAGGTTGCGAAGGTGGGCATATGGCGCCAGAGACACAGCTGCTGCAGGTTTCTTGTTATTTTCAAAAACACACACAACAGAACAGGTGCTAGTCTTTCAGAGCTGGTGACCTGTTTTGGTATGAATAGTCAAATCTTAGTTTTTAGATGAATAGAATGGTGTATGTATTTAGATTAGATGTTTTTTGTTGCCATTACATTTGTACAAGTACAGTGCAACAAATGCACCTTAGCATCTAACCAGAAGTGCAATGAAGCAAGATTAAAATGTGCATATCACAGGAACATGATATGAAACAGTAGGGCATGTGAAAGCCAGAGGGAGGTTACATCTACTTATAGAAATAAACTCAGAACAGACTCAACTGGCATCTAACATCATCTAACATCAGCATCTAACCCACAGTCTCCTTCGTTTGAGGTGAAAAAGTTAACCATCCTGCTGTTAAAAAAAATCAATAATACCAGTCTTAAATTTTTGGCCTTTCCATTCTGCAATCCCCAAAGCAAATCATGACACTAACGCAAATTAGGCCAGATGCACTCTCTGACCAAACTTTAACAATTTCCATTTGTCTGGACTTTGTTTTGCTCCCTCTTCTGGTTGTATTTACAGCATACTAAAATGGACATTGAAATCCTGCTGAACGTTGGATACCATGTTTTCTCCACTCCTTTTACATTTCAGAGAGTGTGAGCTTGACTTGTGGCCTGTTTCGTCTTGTGTGCTTCTTGAAGAGACAAAGGCACAATCAGAGGCGGCCCGTGGGCCCATGCACTCCCGTTAGAGGGCACAGTGCGGCCCTTTCATCTCTGCTCTCCTGGCTGAATCCAGCCTCTCGTGCTGCTTTATGTTCTGCTTTCTGCCTTCAGTTCAAACGCTGGGGACCAGTTTAAACACAGGAGCTCCCCACTGCAGCGCTCCACTGAACCAGAGCTATATAGTGAAACATAAAAGACTCAAGCATCTGCCCACTACCTCCCCTTTTAGGTATTACAATGGGATAAAAACGGGCTTCTGTTAATTAAAGTATGTTACGAGCTGCATTGTAACTAATCCAGCCTCAAGGGGGACCCAACCAGTGTACTCGAAATTTAGATGAGTGCATCAAGAAGGGCATCCAAAGAGAGAAAATCAAAAACAATGCCAGATGGAGTAGGTTTAGCTTTTATTGACAAACATATTTTGATTTTAATGAACAATTCTTCCTTTCTTCTAATCAATATGATTACCGCTCTGACTCATTACAAGTTTTTGTGTACACTTCTCGCTGTTCAGAAAGCAGTAAAACAATATGATGGGGAAAAAATTTCAAAATGAGTATAATGATACACAATTGCAAAGAAATGTATTATGTAATCAATTTTAATTAGCTCCACATTAGCTTTTAAAAAATGTTGGTCTTATTAAAACAAATAGAAGTTGCTTTAAATAATAATTCCTAAACATAAAACAGATCTGCAAATACTGAAGTCTTCTGAACTGAACTTATAAATGACAGAATCACAATCTTGATTAAAATTAAATTAAAAGTGTATTAAATGTACAGCCCTGATTCCAGTCACTGTGTATTCACATTTGTACCAGTGATAAGGCTGAGTTTGAGAAGGGGGCTGAAGAAGATATAAAAAGACACAACTGGTCAAAGCAGAACATGATATTCCATGTGCTGCTGCAGCTTTCCAAATACAACAATCAATAGAAGAAAAAGTGAAACAAATGAAAGGAAGGAGATGCACCTGGTCGATACGTGTTTCAGGTGATTGAGAGGAAACTGGAGCCTCGGCAGCGTTGTGTGTGCATGCCTTTATGTTTGCGGTTACACATAAGTCCTATATCGCATGCCCGTCCTGCTCACTGCCAGAGGGGAGGTGACAGCCCCTTTCTTGTGGTGGATCCCGTGGTCGCTCATGTCTTGTTTGCTATCGACTCGGAGTCCGCCACAGGAAATATTTTTTCAGGAGAGAAACAGACAGAGCTCTCTGCTAGGAGTCCATCGATAAAGACAGACCATTGGGATGATGAGGAGAAACCCAAAACCTTTATAAAAATAAGATGTTATAAAAAGTTAAGACAAAATAAAGTTTTCAGACCAGAACAAACCATTTCGATTATCTATTAACTGTCACACCCAGGGTTTCAGCTTTTTGTTTAGGTGCTTTATTATGCGGAATTGACTCTTGTGAGCTTTAAGCCATGTTATATGTTGTTATCTCATCAAAAATATACCTGAAGTTGTCCATCCATCTGTCCATTTTCTTCTGCTTATCCGGGGCTGGGTTGCGGGGGCAGCAGTCTAAGCAAGGACTCCCAGACATCCTTCACCCCAGACACGTCTTCCAGCTCCCCCGGGGAACCCTGAGGCGTTCCCAGACCAGCCGAGAGACATAGTACCTCCAGCGTGTCCTGAGTCTTACCCAAGGCCTCCTTCTGGTGGGACATGCCTGGAACATCTCTGCCTTACCACTTCAGCTGGCTCCTCTCGACGTGGAGGAGCAGCGGCTCTACTCTGAGCTCCTCCCTTGTGACTAAGCTCCTCACCGTATCTCTAAGGGATCGCCCAGCCACCCTGCGGAGGAAACACATTTCGGCAGCTTGCATCCTTGATCCTGACCTTTCGGTCATTACCCAGAGCTCATGACCATAGGTGAGGGGAGGAACCTGGAGTTGTGTTTTGTTTTATTCACACGTGTTTGAGGAATCTTTTATTATTAGGCTGTCTACACCTCGAAAGCTTAAAATGTTCTGTTCCACCTTGTGATGTCAGGAAACAGTTGTTTCTACGTTTATAGGTACCATTTGGCTTTAGTTCAGTAGAGATTGGAAATTCCATGGCTGAAATTATCCAAATGATTCTAGTGGAGATGTAAAGAGTTTAAAAACACAGTAGAGCACCACCTGACATCACAAGTTGGAGCAGAGTTTTTATGTTAAACATGTGTGAATGAAACAAAACACAACTCCAAGTATGTTTTTGATGAGGAAACAACATTATAACAGATCTGAAAATAGCGTACCAAGAGCCCTTGGAGTACTGTAATGTATGTCCTGAGAATGTGCACTTTACAGATTTGAAGCAGATGGGCTAACTACTCTTACGTGATCTCTAAACAACTGTATATTCATTTATAATGGGACTCATTGATAAAAACAAAGAACTGAAAAGCAAAGATTACAAATGGAAACATGTGTTGAATCAATAATTTAATCATTAGTTTGATGCATAATAATCTCCTGCCTGTGCAAATACAATTATAAGGATTAGGTAAGAGGACATAATCTGCTGTCCAATCCTCATTATAGTAGTGATTAGTGCATGCTGATGACTTCATTTTAATTAACATAATGAGACACATTGTTCCAACAGTGATGTGATCTGAGTGTGTGCTGAGTATTGGGGGGTGTAGTATTTACCTGTCTGACACTGCACCAGTTTAAACCACATTACACTTTTCACAAACTGACCAATCATGGCTCATGCATATTCCATTGCACGCTGCCGTCCATAATTACTTAATTAATTCCCCGCTCTGAGATAGGGCTGTGCTAATCCCCCGGGCTCCCCTGGGGTCTCCTGGTCCCGCTATAGATGTCCTGTCCCAGAATGCACTGCTATCTGTCATAATAATGGAAGAAGCCTGTTGTGTGGACTTGCATGGCATAATAAATCACATTTATTTCATTATCTGTTTTTAAGTGTACCTACAAAGGATTGCTGGGTTTCAGGTGATATCACATCATTCTATAGGCCAGTGATATTTAATATAGATGGGGGACAGCTAAAGTAAATTAGGATTTTTGTTGTAATATAGGGGGTTATATGGCGTGGTCATTAATAAACATCACTAGGTTTTTGTTTTTTTCACATTTAGATGTTTCTCATAAAAGTACAATGTAATCAATAGGAAAATCTGTCCCTTGCCCCCCATCTGGAAGTAAGACATCATCACATGTAGAATCTGAAAACCACCAATACTTAAATAGCAAGAAACTATGTACTACAGTGTAATATTTTTATGTATTAAAACTTTTAGCTCAACCCTAACTCTGTCACAAACCCTCTATCTTTCAATCAAATGGTCATATTCAAATTAAAAATGAAGGGTTATCTTTTCATAACCTTTTTGTCAATATATGAGCATATTTCTACATTATACCCCACACCATTCTAAGTTAAGAATAGCAAATACAGAAATTCAGCTCTGTCTTTTTACTTTTATTAAAAATTGTGAATGCAATCATTGACAATCCTTATTCAAAGTAGAATTGCATATGTTTTTTTGTTTTTTTTTCTCTCTCTTTTGAGGAATCTAGCATTTCAGCCTCATACTTTGCTCTGTTCATTTTCCATCTTTTCTCTCTAACGTTTTGGACTGTAAATCTGAAGTTCCGTGCAGCCCTCCCTGCTGAAGCTGTGTTCGTCCCAGAGCTCACAGTGATGCAGAGACAGTCTGGGAAGCACACCTATCTGCATATTTTTATGAGAAACAGTCGCCTTTTGTGACTTCTTTATCCTGTATTCTCTCAGCAAAGTGATGCGATATCAATGCACTGATTTTGAACCCAGGGCAGAAAAAAAAGCCTATAGGGACTTTTTTTTATTCACTCCCACACAACTCTGAATAAAACACAGAGCAAAATAATATAGTGAAAAGAAGATAATTTTGCAAGATTCACAGCTTTTAAAATGAAATTTAGAGGTGCAAAATATCAGGTGCCAGGCGCTCTTTTAGTCATCTGTCATTTTTATTAGAAGAAGTAGTTATCATGAAGAAGTAGTATTCATTAACAAAACATGCTTGCATACCAGTGTCATTTAATAATTTAAACACATTATAAAAGCGCAATAACAGTTGTTTTAGGTCAAATCTGTGGAGAGGCAAACCCGTCAGAATTTAAGGCATAACAGAAGAATTAAAGTTTTAACAGTACTTTATGTATTTATTTATTTTTGCAATAAAATGCCTAAATAAATGCAAGATAGATTTGTTAAATGCCGTACTGTGGAACATTTCAGGCAAGAAAAAATATACTTATGGAGACAAGCAGACGGCATAACCTCTCCCAGAAAAAGTTAGACATTATTCAACTTATAATACATAAAAAAAACATATATTTTTTGTATTTTTAATAATGATAAGATGAACAATATGTAAGTTGTATCAGCTGAGCAAACAAAACCTAGTTACAATATGGTGTCAATAGTTTAAATATTGAGTGTGCTGTAACAGTGAGGACTTCCTACAGTCGTAAAGTGTTTCTCTCTCTGGATCTTAATCTAAAGTCTAATGACCCAGGCTGGAGGCTCCACATGGACCCGAGCTACTTACCACTGATGAATGAATATAGCTAACATTGCAGCTCTTATGTAATCACTGTGTCACATAGTAATGGCAAATAGCATCTATTACTGCAATTACGTTGACCCAATCCGAGCAAGTGCGTAGCCTTTTTGTTCCGTATTTGAAGATTTAAATTATTTCTGTTGAGGCCTTAACAAATTAATTACATGTCCATAGAGACGAGTCTACAGTACTGGGTCGGTCACCTTCTCCACTGTGAAGTTCTTCGTTTTATGAATATTAATTGTTGTAGTAGGAGATGTATCACTAGTTTTATGAGGGAGGAGGACTTTGTCTGCAGCAACAGTTACCAGTTTCATTAGTATTGTATAGTATTTGTATTAACAGTATATTTATTGTAGTATATTGCAAAATAATTTTTTCACTTATATCAATAATTGTAGTACTTTGTGAGATAAGAGAGCCTTTTTCATTGAGTACTGACAATAAAATTTGTTAAAACACTGGGCAAGTAAATTATCCTACAAAAACTATGTTAAATAAGTAGCTATAGTAGTATTATGTTCTTTGCACTGAATATATTTTTTTCTTTTACACAAGTAATGATAATGTATTTCTTTATTGGTCTTATTGTTACAAAATGAATACTTTTACTTTGATTGCTGGACTAGACCATCCCCAGTATATCACCAGAGTTTTGCACCTGAGAACAGGACATAGAGGAGAACCAGAGAAGGGACACATTTAAAACACTCCAATCAATCAGTGATTTGACTTTGGGCCAAATCCATGGTGATAATTAGCCAATCAGAGCGTCCAGTGGTGGGGAGAGGGGAGGGGGGGGAGTGTGGCAGGTGCCTGGGGGCCCTCTGGGGACCTGCACTGGCTCTTCCCTTCATTAACTCCTGTCGTCCTCTCCCCTTGTCCGCCTGATCCGAGCCACTCGCCGGGGCTGCTGGGTAATTCAGTGGCAGTCTCCGAGGTGACCCCACGCCGCAGGGCTGAGGGAGGCGAGGATACGCACTCAGGTTTAACCTCTGCAGCTCGCCGCCTGTTCTTCTGTTTTCCCTTTTGATTGCCGGACTTATGCTGTGTCCTGAAGTGGTCCACATCAATGTGCCTCACACATTTCCTGTTTCAACTTTGCTTAGAGATTTAGAGATATAGAAGTTTGGTCTAAATGTAAACTATGTACCTATAGATAGATAGATAGATAGATAGATAGATAGATAGGTAGGTAGGTAGGTAGGTAGGTAGATAGGTAGATAGATAGATAGTCCATCCTCTTGTATTCAGCTATGTTAAGTACATATAGCATGTCGGACAAGCAACTTCCAGAGTGTGTCCGTGGAGCAGGACAGGAACAACAGCCTGTCCCCAAAGGTGAGGTGCTCTCCTGCTTGGTGATGGGACTGTGCAGGGGGTGCTTAGGGTTATCCATGATGGACAGGAGCTTGTTTAGGACTCTCTTCTCAGCTACAGATGTGAGTGAGTCAAGCTTTGCATAAGAAGTATGCTAGACTAAAAGGTCATAATCAGTCTATTAAATGTGGACTATAACACTTTTTTTAGTTGATGGAAGCTTATCTCCATGGGGACGTTATTGGTTTGTCTAAAATATTTCACAGTATGACATGTATATTGCATTTATTCAGTTACATGCGTTGTACAATGTATCAAAAATATGCATTCTTACTGTGAGAAAAGTAGCTTCTCCACAGTTCTGACCTGTAACTTGGCCTGGTGGTGTCACATGCTTTTCTCCATGGATATAGATAACTTAGATATAGACACATGCATTAGTTTCTCAACCATATGGACAGAATTAGATCTAAATTAAAAGTGAACTACCTCAAGAATTGCTATAAACTGACTGTCCAAAGTGTTACCCGCACCACAGTTTGAGAACCACTGCTCCACTTACCACAACCTCCTAATTTGCCTTTATTATGAGGTCAAATGTTTCTATATTTCTGCCTTTATCTCAGTGTCCTCTCTGTCCATCTGTGTCTCCAAGTGCAAAAATCCAATTTCCTCTGATCTCACTGTTTGCAGCGCTTTATGGGCCTTTATTGCCGTTCTTAGCTGATTGCTCATATTTATTTACTACGAATGCCGTTATGAGGCGCTGCTGTGAATGCACTGGGCATATAAATGCAATACTCATCGTGTGTTAGCTCATTAGGATGTGGCGCACAGCTGAAGTTTGTTCTCGCTTTTGTCTTCATAACTGCAATTTGCCCTCGGATTTCCAACTAAGATTAAGACTGTCAGAAAATGGCTTTGTTCCAGGTAAAAACATGTCATGTGCCATGAAATACAAGATGTTTAATATGTCGGGGAAACATTGCAAATCCAGTTTCACAACATCTTCTTTTATTAAAAGATGAGCACAGATCTTTGTCTTACAGAAAGCCCTGCATGCATAATAATGACGGATTGGATATTATGGTTTAGCACACATCCATTAAAGCCCAGTTACAATGAGATTATTGCCTGTGACAAATGAAGAGGTTATATTCCAACTATGAAACAGCTCATAAATTTTGATGGGCGACATATACGACTGGTTAAGGTGCAAGAGGCGTAGAAATGCTACTTCTCTGCTTCTGTCTTTTGTCATTTGCATCGTCTTAAAGCGTCACGCCAGAGTCGTTTTGAATATGATGTTAATTTGAAGGTTTGAAGTTAGAGGACTGAGTGTGACTAACTGTATCTTGAAATGTTCTGTGCCTCCTACAGGCTCACTATACAGACAGGAGAAACACCAGCACATATTATGATATTGTGGAAAAGACTCTTCTGTTGTGGTGTAAATGTTGGTGTAAAATGAGATTGGCATCTCGAGTAATATTACAGTTCAGATCTGTGGAGAGTCTCCCTATTCACACAGGGATTTAATGCATCTTTGAGCTACAGAAAGACCAGTAATGAATAAATGTTAGATGGAAATGTGTAATGTCATACAATGGAACATTCCAGGGAAAGCAATAACATGGAGTCAAGCATGTAGCGGACCGTCCACTAGAAAAGTTGCACAGTAGACTTTTAAATGTGCATTTCCTTGAAATGCTATGTAAAACAATAGGCTACTGCTTATGCATTTGTAATATTTATCACCTCCGATGGTCGTCTTTGGGGAATTTAAATATCTATCAATACAAGCACAGGTTGCTGACTGGAAAATACAGGGAGTCCATGAGCCTCACAAACACACATCTCTGTGACAGGTGCTGCATGCTCCACTGAGCAGCTGTGTCCTGACAGACTATGGCAGGTCTGAGCAAAGCACCCAGTGTCACCTCTAATCTCCCAAATACACACACACACACATGCCCACACACACACACGTGCACACACACACACATGCATGCCCACACACACACACACGTGCACACACACATGTGCGTACGCACCAGGGGCATCCCACAATCATTAGCTAACACACCCTCGTAGCAGCAGGCAATGCACAACAATCATAAGGCAAGTATTTGACTGAAGTATCTGAAGCAATATTATAGCAGTTGTAGTATGTTGTTCTTTTCTTTTAATTATATTGTCTAGCAGTGCTTGAAGCTTTGCAGGACTTTAAATTGCAGCATGTTGTTGTAGTAATAGTAGTAGTGATGTTGTAATATTCTGTGATTTCATCAGTTAATTTATATTTTTCCCAGCTGTTTAAAGGTGCACTATGTAACTTTTTTGGGGCAGGGTCTGTCATCTGCTTGTGTCCATGGAAATGGCAGTGCTTTGCATTAAGTATGGCATTAAACATCTGTCCTAATGGAGAAAAACAAGTGACACCACAATGGCACATTACAGGGTAGATCTATGGAGAGCAGTCTTGTTCACATTAAGAATGCATGTTCATCAAGGTATTTTTGAGCAATAAAAACACAATATAACTAAGAAAATGCAAGAAAGATAAGATTAATGGCACCTGGGCAAAGCAATATCCATGGAGACAAGCAGGTGGCAGACCCACCTACAAAATAATTACAAAGTACACATATTTTTATATATTATATTTTTACTTGAATTCAGATTTTCATTTCTTTGTGCCTGTGGAGAGGGGCCTCACCATGATCTAACTCGTCCTTAAACCCATCTACTCCCACTCCCCCAGGAGCGCCTTTCTTTGTGTAGTCCCACTGCACCTTGTCCCATCTCGCCTACCCCGAGTTAAGATCCCGCAGGCGAGCTTTAATGACTTCCTCTATCCCTCCTCTCCACTGCGTTTGAGGTGTAGCGTGGCCATCTAAAGAAGCATTGATGGGCTAAAGCCTGGAGATTAGAATATCACAAATCCAGATTAGTGCTGCTGTTCTGTGTATGTGTCCTGACAGGGGGTGGTAGTGACAAAAAATGGCCCCCCACCCCCGGGAAACTGAAGACTGGAATTTCAAATAGGATCAGATATGGCGGGAGGCGTCTTTATCAGGGATGTACAGGTAGAGCCACACGCTGTGATGAAATGATTGTTCAAATATTGGTCTGAGAGTAATGGGAGGGAAATGGACTGCAACAGTAAACAAACCACTACACCAAAAACAGTGCAAATAAAAGCAGATGCCCTGTTCATTATCACATATCAACAGGCTGTACATGTATGTGGAAAGATGTAGTCAAGTCACAAATAGAACAGGCTTTACTGTGGCAGATTTAGATGATTTAGATGATTCAGCTTTTCAACTCAAATGTACTGAGCCTGACAATTGTGTATGCAGCGATCTAACTGCGTCGAGTGTATATAAGAACATATCTAAACATAATGGGACACAATATTATCCAATACAAGGGAACTCTAAATAGCTAGAGTTTAATTATTGTATATAACTGATCTTATCTACTCCATAAACAATACATTTGTGCACATGTGTTGGATATGCCACATGTGTAATTGCACAGTGATTTGCATGCTGTCTTTTTTTTTTTGGTTTAGGTTTGGTTTAGTTTTGCACACAAACTGGACAATGCCCTGAAACATGCCTGTGGCACTGGGCTGGAGGTGGGAGATATATCAAAAAGTGGATATACAGTGGTTGTTATGGAGATGTGCAATACTGAGTGAGTCTAAAATAAAGACAGTTGCAAATAGAACTGATAAAGAAAAAAAATAAATTTTTGAGATTTTCAACTAAAGAACAGGTAAAGAATTATATTTCTTAGTTTCTGGTGTTAAGTTTAATGTTTGTTTACTTTTTGTAAGAAAAAAATCTTGGGATTAGCCCAAGATTTTGCCAGCATTACTCGCCTCTATGCAAAAACTAAAATAATGCCAACTTGGGTTTTCTAGCTCAGACGAACAAAGAGGTTTGTTATGTCTTATCATGCATATTCTTCTTTCTTTCACACGATTCATGAACAATTTACTGTAAAGGTTATCAATACTACCTGTAGTGGCCAAACCTTGCCCTGTGCAAGGTCCGCTATGGCTGCAGCATTTGTGGTGTCTCGGACGCGTGTCTTCCATAAAAACAGAGTTCAAATACTGTGTTCTTCAATATTTATTGGACGTACCTTATAGCCGTCCAAAAATACACAGATTCGGTACTCGATAGTTCACGCCGATGACGACGACGGTCAAAAGACTGTATACCTTCACAGTGCAACACCTGTGTGCACATTTTCCTCCCCTTATATAGGGCAGCAAATTACGTAGCAAATTATAAATAGCGCCACACAGTGGCGGGAGGTAGACAGGTGCAATATGGCTCCAACACTACCTTTTGTATCATTCTTTTTTTTTTTTTACTGTTTTGAATCAATTAATTGTAAGCATCTATATACCCATATATTCATATATTCTTTACATAGAATTCATAAATCATAGGGGACAGTTGGTGCCAAGTTTTCATCAATCTGAAAAACAAGCATTAATTCACGTTCTGACCATTACATATTGTTGTTTTGTCCTCAGGCAAGACACTAGCCTTGGTGGGAGTGGCCACTGGAGCAGATTTGCTTCTGTCTGTTTTCCCCTGGGCAATAGTGTCTTAGTGTCTTGCCCAAGGACTCAATGACAGTATGCACTGGTCTAAGATAGGATACAACCACCAACCTTTGAGGACAAATGCTGCTGAAATAATTCCAAAAATGCCTTGCACAATGATACTACATTTGAAAGCAAACCCATCAGCCTCCTGCCACAATATAGTAGAAATGCAGGAAATAGTTCTGTCACGATATTTACTTGAGTCGGTCAATATATGATAGTTGGAAGAATATTTTTGGGGGTCAGTTTTATTTATTTATTTTTTTTGTACTACTGGAGAGTTCATGTTTTTTTTGGCAAGATTTCAGCCATAAAATGTTGAAATAATACCTTTTTTGACTCATTACAGATACAAAATCAGTACTAGTGTTTCATTCTCTTATTTATT